ACCAACCAAGTTTCATTTCATATTTCGCAGAATAGCCGGCTGCAACTTCATCCTTTGATTTGAGACCGGAGATACATAATTTATAATCCAGTGGTGTAACATAATGATTTTGAATTAAATGCAAATTGATAAAGCAAAAGTCAAAAGGTCGAGACTTACGTTAGTATCACATACAATATCTGTAATCTCATACGCGTCCGTGGGAAATTTTATAGAAGACTAGCGACCCACCCTGGCTTCGCACGACTGCAATGTATTTTACATATTAAACCTTCCTCTTGAATCACTCTATCTAATAAAACAAACCGCATCAAGTTCCGTTGCGTAGTTTTAAAGATCTAAGCATACATAGGGTCAGACAGACAGCGGGACGACTTTGCTCCATATAAACACTAACCGAAATCATACGGTCATACTGTGAAACTTAAACATTAAGTTAAAATCTTCACCATCTTTTATAAATTTATACTATACTATAAAAGCATCGCCAGTTGCGAAATATTTTCTTAAAGTTCCCAGGGAACCGTTTAAAACAAGTACATTATTATGACCAAAAACAAAACCCACTTTGAATATATCACTCACTATTCGTTTTCTCTTTGTTTTTTTCATGTATGTAGGAGACTAAGTTTCAATATCAATGAAATTTATACGAGGACATATGGAAACTAAACCAAACCCAATGTAAAAATAATGTTAAAAATCGGTTTATAAATGACAGAGTCATAAGATAACGAACACAAAAAGTAAAACCGAATTGAGAACCTTTTTTGTAGTCGGTTGAAAGAACAGAGAACCTTAATATTTTTAAAAGCCACATTTCAATAAAACTTAATGTTTTATTTTCCTTTGCGTAAAAGACCGTGAACAAAATGGTAAAATATTTTATTCCATTTAAGTTTAAATTAGTTTAATTCCGATCTTTCTAATAATTTAACAAATTACAGCAATGTTTAATTGATTCACAAACAAACTTTTGTTCTACATTTACGAAAATATGTAAAATCTTATTATTATTTTATTATAGAACATTCTTTTAATGGGCATTATTGAGGTTCAACTCTAATTCCAAAAACATGTACCGCTACAATTTACAAACAAATATCAGACCGAAATTGATGAATGCAACTGGACATACGAATTTTGACCGATGAGTTTTTACTCCAAATGTTTTAAAGTATTTTTAAAAACGGCGTGTAGGTGATGTGTGTATCGTTATTTACAGAGTTAAGTCATGTCTACTAAAATACATCGTCTAATTAAAGTATTTTCAGGAATACTAACTGAACTATAACAAATCCATAACTTATATTATTTATATATGACAATATAAAGAAGTTTCACCCTAATCTTTACCCGATTTTTTTTTATGTGAAAAAATCAACAGGCAACAGGCAAACGATCAGGCGGTTCACCTGATATGAAGTAAATACCACTGCCTATAGACATGTGTAACACCCGAAGGGTTGCAAATGCGTTGCCACCTTTAAATAGAAGTGTAACACTTCTACTTTACGCCGACCTTCTGTGAGGTCGTGGTAAGTACCCGGATGGACCTGCCAATTCGTGCAACAGTGGAAACTGGCGTGGCCCTACCACAATTGAAATTGATTCGAATGCATCAATAAAATAATACTATTTGATCCTGGAAAATATATACTACTTAAAATTCATCCAAAACTGAAATCGTCATAAATATTATTTGAACTGAATTAATTCGACCTTAAAAATTCTCTTAAATGCAACATATAGACAGATTTTCTTCATGGCTTGATACTGTAGCTGGTGTTCCACAAGGTGGCGTGTTATCCCCACTGCTATTTGCAATTTTCATTAATACCATTACTTCCCAAATATCTTCTCTCTACCACTTGTATGCAGATGATCTCCAGATTTACACTCAAACCACTGTGGAGGATCTTCCGAAAGCTGTGGATATTATTAATAGGGATTTGGCTTGTATTCTTGACTGGAGCCGACAATATGGTTTGACTGTTAATCCTATAAAATCTCAAGCCATAATAATTGGGAGTTCAAGAAATATCACTAAATTAAATAAGAACCAAATTGACCCGGTTTATTTTTAAATGGCATCGTAATCCCTTATAATGACATTGTTAGAAATCTGGGTATACTGATGGACTCAAGTTTTTCATGGACCCCTCAAATTAATGCAGTCGCTCGTAAATTATTTGCAGCATGTGGTTCGCTTAGAAGGTTGAACTACTTTTTACCTATTTCAACCAAAATTACGCTTGCCCATTCTTTACTGCTCCCTATTCTTGATTATGCTGACATATGCTATCTCGACATCACTGAGGAGCAGCTTAATGAACTTGAGCGACTCCAAAATCTATGTATACGGTTCATATTTGGACTTCGTAAATATGACCATGTATCAGAATATCGCATTAAGCTCAAGTGGCTCCCGATTCGTTTTCGCCGGAATACTCATATTCTTTCTGCTCTTTACTGCGTCCTATTTAATGTATCAAGTCCGGATTATTTGAAGGAACGTTTTCAATTTCTTTGCTCCTCTCATAACCTCTTCCTTAAAAATCCTTTGCGATCTACTAGTTTTTACCATAAATCCTTCTCTGCTGTCGCTGTTAAACTCTGGAACTCTTTACCTTTGGCTATTAAACGTGCTCAAACCCTAGATTCGTTTAAAAGACAGGTTAAGAAGCATTATCTCTCTGTCTAGCTCCTTTCTATCTCTCGATGTCTTTCTTCTCTTTTTATTTCATTCTTACTTTGATGATCACACACATGAGGTGTGTTTTTTATTACTTTAATTTTTGTTGCAACTTACTTTTTACTTAATTTCATGTACATCCTACCCAATAAGAATTTCTTTTGATTCATTTCTGAGATTGCCTGGAAGAAATTGCTGTGTAGCAATAAGGTCGCCTTTTGATGACCAATATTTGATAAATATTTTGTTTAGTACTGTACTTTTTTTCTTTTTTGGTGTACAATAAAGCATATTATTATTATTATTAGACTAAATTCCATATTTTATTAACTTTTTAATCTGCATCAATGTTTTTATTATATATTTTTCATTAATTATTATTTATTTAATTATAAATCATAGTACTAGGAGTAGTCATTATTTTTAGAAAAGTCTTGAAACAAAAATTAGTACTTGATTAGATTATGATCATCTAAAATTTTTAAATACAGCGTGTAGAATTTTATCTCTTGTATTTTTTTAAATTCTCGACGCTCGAACACTTCAGAGTATCCTCAGACCTTCCCGTCGGAGGTATGCGTAATTCATCGTCATCATCATCATTTCAGCCTGTTTGAGTCCCTTGCTTAACATAAGCCTCCCCCACAGACTGTGATGAAGCTCGAACTTGAGCCATCATTCGACTTCCCGGCTAACCTGCACAGGTCGCGTCACTCCATCTGATGGAGTTCGTCTTACACTGCGATGGCCATAACGAAACTGCTCCTTTATCGAGCTATATGGCCGGCCCATCACCACGTTAGCTTACTAACCTTCTGATTTCAGTCGGTTATCTTTTTTCTGCTGCGGATGTCTTCATTACGAACTCTATCATTGCAGAGAAATACCAAGCATAGCTCGCTGAGCGACTTTGAGCTTCCTGATACAGCCATCAGTGAGGGACCACGTACCGGTTCCGTAGGTTATCACTGGCAACACACATTGATTGAAGACTTTTGTCATCAAACATTGAGGGACTTTAGACGAGAAGAATATGCCGATGTTTCCCGAACGCTGCCCATCCGAATTGGGTTCGCCGATTGACTTCTGATAAACGTACTCGTCAACAACTTCGAGCATAGTGCTCTCAACAACAACCGGTATAGGCACGACATGAAACATTAGACATCATCCTCTTAAATAATGAAAATACGGCCAGCGACGCATTTGTAAGCCCTCTAGTGTTGCAGATGTCCATGGGCGGCGGTGATCACTTACCATCAGGTGAGCCTTCTGCGCGTTTGCTGGCTTGTTCCCATAAAAAATACGTCGTTAATAGACAAAATTCAGAAGGAAAAATTTTAAGTATGTTTTTCTTTGATGCTCTGTACCTTATTTCTTAAGATTTCAAATGTAGATTTTATATGTAATTCTGACAAATATATGTGTCATATGGCAGTACTACGATGCAGTTACTATACGGTAGTGGGAAAACAACTCGACCGGGAAAACCCCGCATTGATATATTTAACGTAGAAGGCAGCATTCCGCTGCTACGTCGCGAACGATGAGCTACGAAAACTGTAGACCTTACATCAAATTCAAGATTTGAATTTCAAAATCGTTCTGTTCACAACGGATTGACCTCTTAGTTAAATATTCATACAGTCTTATTTATGCTGCGAGTTCATACGTAGTGTATGTACATTGTTCAAAGTTTCATATAATCGTTAGCGGTAGAATTAACAAAAGATTAATGAGTTAGAAAACGCCTCAGCATGCCTATCTGCTAGAAAACAATGGTAGAACGGCTTTACACACAAAACTTCATAACAAATCCATTGGGCACCGTAATAAAACACAATGAGTTTTACGAGAATGCCTACCGAACACGTTTTTATAGATTTAACACACATCAAAGTAGTAACGGCCAGCCGTTCGTGCGTATTCTATGAATATATGTGATTTTTTACAACAGGAAAGCAGCACACTGTTATTAACTTTGTGAATCTTACGTTTGTTAAAGTTTAACCAGTTTCGATACAATGATTTAAAAACGTATCACTCTTTTAAATCACCGCGAAAATAAAAAGTTACAGTTACCAAAAAAAAACAATCGACTGACGTTCGAAATTACACCGAAGAGTGCGCAACCGCTGCATGGCAGGCGAGAAAACATAGTGACGGCTGTATATAAAAAAAAACAAAACAAAAAGAATCACTTTTCGAAATGGAAAAAAATTAAGTACTTACCGACACACGTGGTAGGTCCCGCGGGCGGTCAGCCGGCAGCTGTGGCCACGTGGTGTCCGCCGCACATCGCGCAATGCCCTCGCAAGTCCACAGTCCGGACGTTCGAAATTCGAAAGTGTCACTCGACGCGTTCGGTGCTCGCGACGTGGTCCCGATAGAACTTGCGGCGTGGCAGGCGACCGGTCCCGTTAGCCGCGGTCGCCCACGAGGTTCGGAGCGCACTGGCGCTCGCTCTGGGCGGGCGGCCGCGCCCCCTCCCCCGCCGCCCGCGCCCCTCGCCCGCCACTGCCTCCCGGATTCCACGCATTCCATCGCGCGCCCTAAGCGCCGTTTAAGTGTTTACCAAAGCTCGTGCGATAGGACGCGCCAGGGTCCCCTCGTGTGTCTTCGACAATAATTAGCGTGCCGCCACGGTACATCACTATGTTGACGGATCGGTATAAAATGAAGACATATAAAATCTCTCGGGACGCGACAAGGTTAAATTAAAAGATAAAAGATCATAATAGACAATTTAGGAGCCTCATCAGCATGAGAGGTATTTTATTAATTTAACGTATAAGTTTTATTCAATTAGCATTCGAAATGCGGGCGGACTTCCAACGGATCGGAATAAAGAAACGGTAACAGCGAACATCAAAGTTTGTCCAGCTTTTAAACTTTTCGTATTTCGGTATTAAATTTTGCAAACTGCTTATTACGAGTCTATTTTTATAAGGACAAACTTCTGACCTTAATATAACTTTGAATACTATACTATCTAAAGATAACATAATACTTCAAATTTTCCTTTAGTACAAAAAAACGTAAAAATAATTTTATATAAATGTTTACTTTAGAAATAAATAAATAAATCAAAACATATTAATCACTCACTATAAATAATTATAAATAGTGCATAATTACTGTATCACGTGATATTAGATAATAAAACAAAAAACACATTCTTTCCAGACTTAAGAGTAGTCTGATTTTGCAATATGAAATTGTCTCTCGTGAACATATATATAATCTATATACATAATCTGAATATAATATATACATAATCTACCGTGCTTAATCGCTTTTTGAATTCAAATTTGAAATCCGCATTAGGCATTCTGTACAGAGTCAGTAACGGTCGGTTCGCAATCAAAGGCAAATGAAACGGAACACAGTAAATTATTCATACACACCTAGGCTTAGAGCCACAAAGCTGATGCAGCCTGAAACGGTAACATTAATTGACTAGAAATTCTCTAGAAGACTTACATATTAACGTGTATTGAAAAAAATATTACTTTTATGAATTTTATACCATTTGTGCAATATTTCTTAACTTAATGTTTTGGCCAAACCGAAATACTTAAAAAGTTAAATAAATAACGAAATAACAACAAAGTTTTTTACTACACTATCAAACGGAGTAGTCCTATAGTTGATCTATTTATTAACCGTTCCAAACCGTTGTTAATTGATACAGGTATCAGCCCGTTGTTAATTTAACATTCACAGGTATACAGGGGTGATATAATAAAAATAAATAAATTTCGTTACACGTATGTGATGTTTTTCTCATGGGGAATGATGCCATCACAAAGATATATCCCTTAGTACTGTTATTTTCAGATCTTTGATGGCTCACGCGTGGGAAGCCCGCGATTACCTGTTCCTTGCCAACGTCTATTTATATATTTTTTTTTTATGATAGACTTATACAGTCTAATAATAACGCCGTAACGCTCAAGAATTGCTTTTGGAACATTACAATAAAGAATATTGCAAAAGATGGCGCGCCTTTCGCTCGCTGTTATTCGCATTTTTGTTTTCTCTGTTGAATGCCTAATTTAGTAGTTACTGCATGCAGTCTTCGGGTTTACCTTAGAGATTTCGGTAACATGTGCCAATAAAATGTAGATTTTTTTCTATGAAGCTACCGATAATATTTTTACTGGCAACTTTGATTATTTCATTTCAATGGCTGCTTTCTAGAATAAGTAATCGTTCTTTGCAATTTGATTTAATTTCATTTGATCTTATTCCATGTTTACTGTACTTATATAGTACAGTAAACATGGAATTTAAATATATTAGTGTCGTATATTTACTTTTTTTAGTATATTATATTTTAATGTTGCGCGGTTTTTCTGTTTCACAACTTTCGAGAGGGAAATCGGCAAATGTAGTAACGGCATTCTAACTCTCCGAACTTACCTGCAAAAAACAAAAAAGCGTTAAAATAATAATATATAAAAGAAACTGAAAACATATCAAAGATTGTATTATTTATATATGCAATAAACGAGTTTAAGCGAAATACCACAGCGTGAACCCACCTGATGGAATATTCTTGCAGATATTCGCAATTCCTAAATAAAGGAAATATTTGATGACTCCGTGACGCAATAATGTTATCCCAAAGTAAGTGTGATGTTTAAAAAAATAAAAAAATGGCAAATTTATTCGCATTAATTGAACAAGGATTTCCTTCCTCGTGATTAAATTTAACCCAATAGCCCTCACCTTACTCATTTAATCCACAATGGCGGTGAGGTTTGTCGCCAGTGCGATTAATTTATAAACTTCTACTGTTTTAGGGCCACGTAACACTATAACATGAATGGGCAGCCTCGTCGGGATAAGTACCACGGCCTCTCACAAAACCAACGCGAAGTAGAACTATTACACTTTTAAGTTTCATCTGACGAGTGATGTAGCCATGCCACACTGTTGTTAAACTTGTGCAACGCATTTGCAACACATCTGATTTAGATGTCCGTAGGTTTCGGTAATGCTTGAAACAAACATGAGAACTTAACAAATAAAAAACCATGTGCCAAGTGCGAGTCGGACTCGCGCACGAAGGGTTCCCTACCATTATCTATAAATACGGCGAAAAAAAATCATGTCTGTTGTATGGGTGCCCCACTTAAATATTTTTTCATTCTGTTTTTCAGTATTGGTGAAAATTTCAACTGTCTATTACGGTTCATGAGATACAGTCTGGTGTCAGACTAGACGGACAGACAGACAATGGAGTCTTAGTAATAGGATGCCGTTTTACGCTTTGGGTACGAAAGTTATTTAAAAATATATATATATTATTAAAATGAAAGGACAATATTAATCACAAGCCTCTTTGAATACTGATCATTGACGTATCAACCTATGATATGAATGACGTGTCAGCCACTAGGACAACAAACTTCAGAAATTCGTTATAACATTTGTAACATCCGATAATTGATAAAGAAAACCATTATCGTAATTATGATAGAAATTATAATCATATTTATATTATAATTATATAGTATATATAGTATTATATTATATAGTATATAGTATTATATTATATACAATTATATAGTATATATAATTTGGTGATACTTTAGAAAGATCTCTTGCAACAAATCAAAACGAAATAAAATAACTGTAAGTAACAATTAATATTATACACATTGGGGTCAGTTAGGTTGTTATAATCCTTACCATTCCTCCGTTACTAATACGTTGTTAGAAGACGGAAATTTTATTTGCCCATACAGCCTAAGTGCTTACTGATGTCCAGAATAAAAAAAAATAATGTAAACATTTACGGGGTATCGATTTCGATGTTAGCATAATCAATGCCTGGCGAAAAAGGAAACGAAATATCGCAAGGAAAACCGGATAACCCACGGGTGCAGCGAAGCAAAGGGCTATATAACTAACGAAAGCCGCAAACGGTTTTTTTGTAAGAAAATGGCAAACGAGCTGGCGGTTCAGCCGCTGCCCATTGACATTCGTAACACCCGGAGGGTTGCAGATGCGTTGCCACCTTCTAATTAAGTGGGCCCCGGCTACCTCACTCACCACAGAAATGTAACACTTCCACTTCACGCCGGTCTTCTGTGATCTTGTGTCTTCCGTGAGGTTCGAGGTACTTACCCTTACATTTTAGTAAGAAAACAAAACCAACTTCGAATATCTAACTCATTATGCTTTTTCTATTTGATTTTGAGGAGTTCTCTGATGTATCTCCGGAGTCCAAGGTGCAATGCAATTAATATGAGAGCCCAATGCAAAAATTTAAAACTGGTTAATAAATGACGTAGTTACGAGGTAACAAACAGAAAAAAAATATAAAAACTTAATTGAGAACCTCTTGCTTTTTTGAAGTGGCTTGATTGATTCAATAGAAAGCGATTTTAGTACATTTTTTTGTCTAAATTTATCCAGTATATTATATTTACTAAATAATTATCATCAGTAAGATAAAAGGAATAAGCAATGAAAATAAGTAGTTTGTACAATTTCTACTTTTGCGTGTTTTTAAGAAGTATATCAAAAGCGGAACAAATTTAAAATGTAGCAAAGTACATTACAAAATAGCGAGCAATAGCGGGTGTACGAGAGAATCAATACGTGCGGTAGACTAACAAATTAATGATACAATAAAGCGATAAAACCTCAAAAAGGTTTACTTACCTCGCTAAATAACCGACACAAAATAAAGAAAACTTAATGTAACCATTTCTAACTAGCTCTTACTGTAATCAATTGATTGTTAACAAGCAAAATCTTACATTTAAAAATAATAGTACTAATAAATATATTAGATGGTTTGATTGCATTTTATTTGTAAATGTTTCTGACGATTCGATTGCTTAGCTGCAACCATGGTCTCGAGACACTGTATTGTTTAACGACCTGATGTCTTGGCTAATTTACAACGTTTAGCTTTCTATTTAGTAACTAGCTTTTTGTCCGCGGCTTCGCTCGCGTTGAAGGCCTTAAATAAATATCGATCCCCTTTAAGAACCCTTTATAACCCTTTTTCCAATTTTAAAATAGCCTATGTCCTCCCAGGCTAGAGACTATCTGTATACCAAATTTCATTTAAATCGGTTCAGTAGCTTTGGCGTGAAAGCGAGACAGACAGACTTAGTTACTTTCGCATTTATAATATTAGTACGGATTAGTATGGACTAGTTATGCTTGAGATTCCGCTCACATAGACTGCGTACGCTTTTATCTATCCTGATCAAATGTGAGGATAACACAATATATATACTTCGATTTACTTATTAATTGTATTATAGGACTTACACAGCAAGTAGACATGGCTTCAGGACATTAATGCATTTGCAATTAATATATGTTACAGATTAAATATCAGTCTTATGTCACTTTAACCGATTGTTTTCGTTTTCAGTCCATAGAGTATTATGGACGCATCTTCATCGGACTTCATCGGACGCAGAAGCCGTGCGCTAGTACGAATACATGAGCTTGAGCGGCCCTATTCAACGCGGAGTGCCATCCGCGTTGGAAGGGCCGCGCATATTTTTTATTTTTTTATGTGAAAAGTTGCCAAGCGAGCAGACGGTTCACCTGATGTTAAGTGAATACCGCCGCCCATGGACATCTGTTACA